AATCCGTCAAAGAGTTCATTATCTGTCAAATCGGACTCTCGTTGTACTCCAAGAACCAGAACTCCAACTCGTAATCACTCTAAACCCTACCATTCATTTTGTACACCATTTTAATTGTCACTCACTTCTGACACAAACAGTTACCACTCGAAGACCTATACCTTCTATTTGTGTCCGCGATCTCTGATTAACCGCAAGTTTACGTTTTCCATCGATATGTCTGCCATCGAGTTCTTGGCCTACAATCACTTTGATTTTGATAAAGTATTTCATGTGTTTTATCGTTCATTTGTGGCATCGTTTCACTCAAATCTCTTTCTCTCTACAAACCAATCACCGAATAGTTCGCCAAAAATGGTATCAATTATTTGAATGAAAAGGAAGAACAAGATCTGAGGGAACATTTCGACGACTATTTGGACATCGATTTCATAGACTGTCCGCTCAGATACGAGAGCTCTAGCCATCAGTTGTCTGACTGGTTGTCCAATCGTCTCATTGGCAAGGATTGTGGCAATCAATTGGTTCTGGGGTGTCGTCCCACAGCCAATCCATTACTGAATTACGCCTTTTTGAGGGAATTTCGCCGAAACTTCACTTCGGTTTGGGTTCAGGAAATGAACGGCAGATTCGTCGCCACTCCTGTCGATGAGAAACAAAGGGCTCAACACATGAAAGAGGAACAGAGCGAAAGGGAACGAGTGATCGACAGAATGGTTGGGTTCTCCAAAATATTCCAGTGTCTGGTCGACGCCCGAAGACCCATCGTTGGACACAATATGATAATGGATTTGCTGTTCATATATCACCACTTCTATCAGCCCCTTCCCAGTCTGTCTCAACACGTCATAAGATTTACAATTTTTTGCTATAATTTTGCTTTCTATACAAATAGGAAAATTGAAAACATTCAAGACTTTTCTGAATTCAATATTCCCCTATATTTTTGATACAAAATGTATTATATTTAATGAGAAAAAGGTTTGATATTTGTTATGAGTGTTATTTTTGGTACTACCCTAGTACCGGTACGAATTTCACTAAATTTATTTTTATAAAAAATGTGTAGAATTTGGCCGAATTGTCGCATATCTTCAAAAGTTCCTCTTTAGGCGAAATATATCTGAAACTATTGGACGACGAGATTGTCAACAGTTTTCTAAATTCTCCCAAAATTGAACAATTGGTTGATGACAACCATAAAGGTTCTGATTGTTGTTTATAATTATTAATTACAATAATAATTATTTTTAAAATTTACTTTGAAATATGAAGCAATCGATAGGTATTCGCCACACAATGCAGGCTTTGATGCATTCGCCACAGCCTTTGGTAAACTATTAATTTAAACCATTTACAGGAATATGCGATAATTGTATTCTGGTTCTTATATTATACTCTAGTATTCGTTAAGGTTTGCAGTATTCTGTTGTCTAAGGAGGACAGGTATTATAGTTTAAACGGCATTGAATTGTGTGAAAGTGAATCTGTATTATTCCTATGAATCTAGTTATGATGACATTCATAGTCACAACTGGTTTGAACTCTTGAAAACAATTGAAAAGCATTGCAATAAAATTAATATGATTCGTGCGAACGTTCATTATATGGTAATTAAGATAATTTATAACATGCACTCTAAGAAGTAAAGTATTTTGCAGTAATTTATTGAAATAAAATTATCTCATGGTTTTAGTGTATATCAGGTGCCGACCCATCGGCCACCAAATCTCAATGGCTTATCGCGAAGAAACGAAACAAAAATTCAAAGTTTTTGATATCAAACGTAAGTTTAGATTCTAGAATAGTGTCTAAGAATTTTTCAAAATAAAAAATACAATAAAATGTTAGCCATTGATGTGAACTTGATTTTCAGTTGACGTCTAAACTGTCTGAAAAGGGAACGGCGGATATCAAAGTGATTGACGATAACTCTGTATTGATCGCTACGAACAGTCAGGGAATGTAAGTGTGATTTGAATTACAAAATTGAATGATATTTTTAATTCTCAAATTCTAATGAGAAATTTGCGCAAAAAAATTGTCAGAAGTGTTATAAAAATAAAGCGTTAAAAGAATTGGTTGCAAGTTTGATATTTAAACTCCTAGCCCTCATACACACGCATTCCCTGTGCTGCTCACGAGTACTCTTCAAGACCTTGAGTTTAAGGCTTTGGTTTTGTTTTATTTTTGGCACTTTTGGCCGCTCTTCTCATTCGTAATACAATCGAAGCATAGTTTTCGGTGATCTCTGGAAAGCGTTCAAAACTCGTGTTATAAATAAGATTTCGCTTTAATTTTTAATTTTTATTTTTTTAATTTTAAATTTTTTGCTTTCGCTATAATAGACTACCTCTGCCTTACATTAAATGTATGGCACGGAAGAGCTTTAGTAGACCTCAAGTTTATGGCATATACGCCACTATTATAGGCATTGAGTGGGAATTCTTTAAACAATTACTCTTTAGTCTAAAGAAAAGATTTAAAGGAATGTCTTTCGAAAGTAAATCACNCCCTTTTCAGACAGTTTAGACGTCAACTGAAAATCAAGTTCACATCAATGGCTAACATTTTATTGTATTTTTTATTTTGAAAAATTCTTAGACACTATTCTAGAATCTAAACTTACGTTTGATATCAAAAACTTTGAATTTTTGTTTCGTTTCTTCGCGATAAGCCATTGAGATTTGGTGGCCGATGGGTCGGCACCTGATATACACTGAAACCATGAGATCATTTTATTTCAATAAATTACTGCAAAATACTTTACTTCTTAGAGTGCATGTTATAAATTATCTTAATTACCATATAATGAACGTTCGCACGAATCATATTAATTTTATTGCAATGCTTTTCAATTGTTTTCAAGAGTTCAAACCAGTTGTGACTATGAATGTCATCATAACTAGATTCGTAGGAATAATACAGATTCACTTTCACACAATTCAATACCGTTTAAACTAGAATACCTGTCCTCCTTAGACAACAGAATACTGCAAACCTTAACGAATACTATAGTATAATATAAGAACCACAATAAAATTATCGCATATTCCTGTAAATGGTTTAAATTAATAGTTTACCAAAGGCTGTGGCGAATGCATCAAAGCCTGCATTGTGTGGCGAATACCTATCGATTGCTTCATATTTCAAAGTAAATTTTAAAAAGAATTATTATTATAATTAATAATTATAAACAACGATCAGAACCTTTATGGTTGTCATCAACCAATTGTTCAATTTTGGGAGAATTTAGAAAACTGTTGACAATCTCGTCGTCCAATAGTTTCAGATATATTTCGCCTAAAGAGGAACTTTTGAAGATATGCGACAATTCGGCCAAATTCTACACATTTTTTATAAAAATAAATTTAGTGAAATTCGTACCGGTACTAGGGTAGTACCAAAAATAACACTCATAACAAATATCAAACCTTTTTCTCATTAAATATAATACATTTTGTATCAAAAATATAGGGGAATATTGAATTCAGAAAAGTCTTGAATGTTTTCAATTTTCCTATTTGTATAGAAAGCAAAATTATAGCAAAAAATTGTAAATCTTATGACGTGTTGAGACAGACTGGGAAGGGGCTGATAGAAGTGGTGATATATGAACAGCAAATCCATTATCATATTGTGTCCAACGATGGGTCTTCGGGCGTCGACCAGACACTGGAATATTTTGGAGAACCCAACCATTCCGTCGATCACTCGTTCCCTTTCGTTCTGTTCCTCTTTCATGTGTTGAGCCCTTTGTTTCTCATCGACAGGAGTGGCGACAAATCGGCCGTTCATTTCTTGAACCCAAACCGAAGTGAAGTTTCGGCGAAATTCCCTTAAAAAGGCGTAATTCAGTAATGGATTGGCTGTGGGACGACACCCCAGAACCAATTGATTGCCACAATCCTTGCCAATGAGTCGATTGGACAACCAGTCAGACAACTGATGGCTAGAGCTCTCGTATCTGAGCGGACAGTCTATGAAATCGATGTCCAAATAGTCGTCGAAATGTTCCCTCAGATCCTGTTCTTCCTTTTCATTCAAATAATTGATACCATTTTTGGCGAACTATTCGGTGATTGGTTTGCAGAGAGAAAGAGATTTGAGTGAAACGGTGCCACAAATGAACGATAAAACACATGAAATACTTTATCAAAATCAAAGTGATTGTAGGCCAAGAACTCGATGGCAGACATGTCGATGGAAAACGTAAACTTGCGGTTAATCAGAGATCGCGGACACAAATAGAAGGTATAGGTCTTCGAGTGGTAACTGTTTGTGTCAAAAGTGAGTGACAATTAAAATGGTGTACAAAATGAATGGTAGGGTTTAGAGTGATTACGAGTTGGAGTTCTGGTTCTTGGAGTACAACGAGAGTCCGATTTGACAGATAATGAACTCTTTGACGGATT